TAGAAGATAATATTTTTAAATTGATACTTTAAGAAGTCTATTATTCTTTTTTCACATCATACATCCTCACCATATTACCACCCATGAGATTTTTCATTAATATTTGCCACATTGATAAACTAATGTCGAAAACTCCTTTTAATTATCAGATTGGTTGAAATTAACTTTAAAAAAATTATCTATTAATAAATGCCTTTATTATTATTACTTTTTTTTTCTTTTTTTGAACATTGTAAGTTTGTGGGTTCTTGCAACGATGGCGTTTGACCTAGGTCACTGTCTTGCTAGTGCATGCCTTTGGTGTTGCTATTGAACCGTGAAAAGGCTTATTTATTTATTTATTTCAAACGCTTATGTGCTAAAATAGGGAAAGTTAAAAGGCATATGAATAATTTTGCACGCTAGATACTTGAACAGACAAGTTGGATATTTCCATCCCCAATTTGTAATACACCAATAAGAAAAAGAGCTTGCAAGCAACAAAACATTCAATTACCATATAATCTATAGTTTAAATGGAAAATAAGTTAAAATTATGCACCACAATAAACATTTATTAATTTAAAAGCTGCAACTGATCCACCACCAGAACAAACTGACACTTAAAACAAGTTCCACAAAAATAGAAAATAGTAAAGATTTTGGCAACAGCCCCCAGAAAGACCTTTCCCAAAGTCCTCTCCAGAGTGCATCGCAAATAGCCACAAATTCTCATCCTGCAACCACCATGACAAAAGCAACATAAGCAGAATTTACAACAATATCCCAATGACTAGTTTACTTTCTTAAACAATAAAAAAAAAAGTGCTTTGTTTACTTACATATTTTGTTGAAGGCCACAATGTCACAACTTTGAACATATTCATTTATAGGTTCTACTGTGAGATGTTCCTCAATGAGAGTGTCAACAGACACCAAGTCATCCACAATGGTCATCATTATCTGCAACTTTTTTATACCATATCCAACAGCTACAAGTTTGGCTGGCAACAATAACAACATAATGTTATACGTCAGAATTATATATGCATAGTAGTGGATAGGTTTGAAGATTACAGAAAACAGATTAGATCCATTTCATGCTACCAAACATTTGAACATGAAATACAAAAGTAATGTCGAAGCCCCACTCATCAGAATAAGGAAAATAGTTTAACAAGGATTCAATCAAAAGTACTCTTCCAAGAGGCTTTATGATGATAAAGATGAGAATTGCATGCATGCCTCCGAATCCAGTTTAATTGACATTATAATCCATAACCACATGCATCAAAAGATTTCCCTTTTAATAGTTATTACATTCTGTGTGAATTCATGTTGTACCAATTAGGTCTGAAAGATGACTTAATAACGCATAATGATAGTTCAACTGACCTGATGCATATAATAAGTCTTTTTGTCTGGTCAAATTACTTTGCTACCTACTTATTTTTCGTTTTTGGCCCAATACTACCAACTTGTTTAAATGGATTCAACTTCTATTCCTTTTTTTTTTTTTCCTAGTTCTACTTGTCAGAACTTACAAGCTCCCCAAAGAAGGCCCTCCATCTGGACACCTCTTACTGCTTCCTCAAGTTTCTTCATGTCAGTCTCATCATCCCATGGCTTGACATCCAACAAAACTGATGACTTGCCAGCTGAAAATTATAAACAGAAAAGAAAAAACACATTTTAAAACAAAGGCATGGAGAAAATACTAAACCATCAAAATAACCATGTGGGAATAATAATGTTTTCTGTCCCCCATCAGCCACAAGATCATATAGATAAGAAAGGATGATGTTCTAACATTCTTTCTTCTTTGCTTTTGCTTTCATGGCAGCTGCACGTTCTTCAGCAGCCTTCTTTTCCTCCTCAGTCTCTTCGCCAAACAAATCTACATCATCATCATCATCTTCTTCAGCAGCTGCAGCCTACAATTCCCATGGCATTCAATTAATTTAAATACAAAAAGCAAGTTTCAAGGAATGACATAACAAACAAGCAGGGGTAACGAATTGAGTAAAATCCACTAGATAGATTCCAATCATCATAAGAAAACTAGTCAATTTAAGCTACCAAAGGAAGGAGAACAAGTACTTGCCTTTGAGTCCTCAACCGGAGGAGTAGCAACAGCCTCAGTGACAGGAGCAGATCCCTCTACAACAACACCACACCCTTCAGCAGAAACCCCTCTGGAAATAAGGAAATAGTTTGTTAGGTGAAATGGAAGAATATTATTTAGGGGATAGCGACTTATCTTTTACTTCCACAAAGAAGAGCAAAACTATACAAATTCAAAGCAACTTACGAAATCCTCAACAGTGCATCAATATGGTTGTACCATCGAGACACATTCACATACTGGGGGGATGGCGGCTTGGGGAGAGATGAATGGACAATAATGTCATCCTTTGAAGCTTGGTATCTGAGCAGGAAAAAACAAATAATAAGTTAATCCATTTCAATTAAGGACCCTTCACTGCAAAAGCCAACAACAAGGAAATTGCATTTATAAGAATTTACCCAGAAATATAACTTCTAGGTAGGAGGTACTCATCAAGCTTCTTCAGTCCAGCATCAGAGCCAAGATCATGGAATGTCACTGCCATTGCTACAGGAAACAGGGTTACTTCTGCAAAAAAGATAACAAACAAAGTCATCAGTTTTCCATCATTACAAGACAAATTCATTTTTAGTAAAAGGTCTTCTGCAAATCTCTTCAGCTCAGGTCTCCACAATTTTTCAGCACAGAATAATAACTCAGGAGAACGAAAGTTTCAAACATAAACATCATGAGAGGAACAGAAGACCTTATTGAAACATTCAGATAAAAAGTTATTATTGAATATAAAGCAGCATCTTTAGACTCAGTAAATATTCACATAGTGAGTAAAAAGCTTTCACTAAATATTTAAACTCAGCAAAAGACAGTTCTTGCATCAAAATAAAGGAGGCACACTAAATATTGCATACAGTAAAAAACTTTCACTGTTAAATGTAATTAGCACCAAAGAATAAAAGTAAAGCCCCATCAGCTCAGGTCTCCAGAATTTCTCAGCATGGACCATCTCGGAAGAACGAAAGTTTTAGTTGTAATCATCCCAAGGGACAAAAGGGAAAAGGAAAAAAAAAAAAAAAAAACCCAGAAGCTGATTTTGATGCATCATTTAAAGGATACAAAAGGCAGAATGAATACCTAGAATTAAACACACAAGATGTGCAACTTTAAACTTAATTCTAGAATTATTCTTAACCTTGACAAAACAACAAACAATTAGAGCACAACCTAAATACAGAATCAGAGTACAAATACAAAGAAAACTGAACCGATAACGAAAATAAAACGTCTCTTCAGCTCAGGTCTCCAGAAGTATTCCGCACAGATTTCTTCTCAGAAGAACGAAAGTTTTTAAAACAAATCATCATCAGAGACGTATATAATCGTGAATGAATCGCAGTTCATCAGGAAAAGAAGAAAACCTAGATCCTCAATCTCTCTAATAGAAGAAGAAAAGGAGCAAAAGCCCAGGCTATGAACAATGGAAAATAGAAGGGAATGTGAAAACGAAAGAAGAATGAAGAAAAATTTACCTGAATTTCGTCGCAGAGCTGGATTCAAAATCCTAGCTAAAACCCTAGATCGGCAAAGAAAGGGGAAGAGGGATGGCCTTTTATACAGTTAGTAATAATTAAAAAGGAAACGAAAACCCTAGTTTTTCCCAGCCCAACCCGGTTTATGGTACGGTACCTGTGCAAGCAGGTTCCATTTAAGAGGCCCAAGGCCTTCTAGGTTGAATAACCATAGCTTTTGCAGCTGGGCCTGAGCCCCTCAACTCAAAGTTTCAGACTTCCAGCTTCTTGATTAGTTGATTAAACCTAAGCCTCTAAACGACTAATTTCTTGGTCAATAAAAATAAGAAAAAAATACCAACGACCTGTTGGGATTTTTTAATAATTAAAATATTATGAATGATAATGAAAAAAATTAAAACATCTTTATTGAATAAAAGATTTATTAAGAATATTTGAATTCCATAAAATGGATTCAATAAATGGATTCTTTGTGAATCAAATGGATTCTAAGAGTTTTAATAAATTTTTTAAATAAATACTCATTAGATTTTTAAAAAATCTTTAATAACTATTTAATGGACCTTTTAAAATATATATTAAAAAGTTATTATTCAAATCTATCATATATTAAAACAACCCATATTCAACATTAATAAAATTTGATTTTTTTTTATTGATTTTATTCATATTTTCTTATTATTAGCTAGATTGAACTTACCTTTCTTAAATATCTTTCCAATTATATATGATTAGGCTACAATTATATAAATAGAAAAAAAAAAAAGAAAAAGAGGTGCGGCTCACAACATAATTCCATGTTGGATGAGTGATTTACCATAATGGTTAGTTTGTTTATTCTTGCGCACGCACGTATGATACTATGATGAGCTAGTAATAAAAATTTTTACTAGAATAAAAAAGAAATGCCATCTTTCATTAAAAATTTCAGGGGAAAGGATTGAGGAAGATAATTAACAACCTTTATTTATATGTAATAATATTTTTGTTATTAATTAGAAACTTGAAAAAATAAACTGAAAGTACGGAATAAAATTAAAAAACTAAACCAGCAACTTCCATCATTAATAACTCCTACTATATAAAAGAAAAGAAACGAGTAGCCCTAGTTAACTAAGAATATCTATGTATGAACTAAATTGATAACTGATACTAGGAAAGAAGTTGCAAAATACTCCTACTACTACTTATTTTTCTTTTGAGGGATATATTTCCTCAAACACAGGCAGCCTTTGACCACTAAAATCTTTAAATGTCTGCAACCGCTCCCCTTCAGTTTTCGTTACCCTCATTGTAGCACCATCAAAGCGTCTAGCGATTTCATCTTTTTCCCGAACATAATCGATTCCATCTTGAAGAGTTTTCCATTCTCCAAATATCTGCCCATTTTCTGTTGCGTTACCATTGATGTTATAATTATCCGCCATAATGCTCGATCAACTTTCAAAATCTGCTCCACAAAATAGCATTATATCAAACACAGTTAATAATATATATAGTTTTAGAAGTACAATGCAAACACGCGAAGAATACAGACAGAAAAACATCAAGATTAATTTAAGATTTTTGTTAATTAGTCTTGCACGTAGGTATGAGAACATGACTTTTTGCAATAAACAAAAAATAAATTCTAAAATTTGATGAAATTTAAAGATTAATTAATTGAATGCAAGAGGAATAGAATACCTAGCTAAGCTATATAATATCGACGCTTGAAAGCTGCAGGATTGAGACGACGCTTGCAAGTGAAAAAAGCAATCGGTCTACCTCTCTTATATAGGCATGCAAAACCTTCTCCTTGCCGGAAAAGGACTTTACCATAGCCATGGGTGGGACCCCTCTGGGTCCCACTTCAGTTTTTTCTTTTTCTTTTTTTTTACCGGAACCCTTTTGCAATTAAAACCTCCAAAGATATATATTAATTATCAACTTGACTCTCCAACTCTTTAATATATATTTTTTCAATTAATCAAAAGATTTAAAATTTTATTATTTTAAAGTATAAAGGATACTCCAATTCTTAAATAATATTATGATATTCACTCTGCTGATCATAATTCTTTATACTCTGAATATTGTGTCCTCAAGCACCTAAGGCACTAATTAATTGTTTCAGCACAAGCTCCTGCGAAAAAGGAATAATAAAACCCAATTGCCTTACCCTTCAACTAAAAAAAGATCGCATTTGAATTACTTCAACCAAATTACTCATTAAGATTTCAACTTCCTTTAAGATTAGACTATTTTGCGCATTCCAGATGGACCATGCAGTACTAGAAACATGAATGATCAAGCTTTCTTCATCTTTGCTTCAGCCATCCCACGTACAGGTGCTCTGAACACATCATGAATCTCCAACTCTTTAATATGGTACAATTAAGGCCAGTGATTTAAACAGAGGTATCATTTGAAAAGTTTTGACATGCCTATGACCTAAGTTGTTAATTGTATAACCTCTCTTCTCAATGAGTGAACATTAGAATTTTTAGGTTCACGTTATATGATAGGATTTAACTTACCTTTCTTTAATATCTTTCTAATCATATATTATTAGGCTACAATTATATAAACAGAAAAACAAAAGGAAACAAGAAAAAGAAAAAGAAGAATATATATATGTAGTGAAGAGGTGCGGCACTTAACATAATTTCGTGTTGGATGAGCAGTTTATCATAATAATTAGTTTGTTTATCCTAGTACACGCACGTATGATGAGCTAGTAATAAAAATTTCTTGCAGATTAAAAAAAAAAAATGCCACGTTTCACTAAAAATTTCAAGGAAAGGGAAAGGGAATATATTGAAGAAGATAATTGGTAATTAGTCACCATTTTCAGTCACAGAAAACCCATTTTCTTGTAGTGAACGTTTATTTATATGTAATAATAGTTTTGTTATTAGAAACTTGACACAATAATATGAAAGTGCCGAATAAAATTAAAAAACAAAATCAGCAGCTTCCATCATTACACTAATGTAATAAATATAGAGTAATTAATAACTCCTAGCATATAAAGAAAAAGAAACGAGTCACCCTAGTTAGCTAGCCAGCTAGGTATATCTATATGTGAACTAAATTGATAACTGATATTAGGAAGGAAGCTGCAAAGTACTACTACTAATTATTTTTCTTTCAAGGGATATATTTCTTCAAATGCAGACAACCTCTGACCACGTACTGAAATCTTTAAATGTCTGTAGTCGCTCTTCTTCGGTCTTCATTACCCTCTTTGTAGCACCATCAAAGCCTCTAGCGATTTCATCTTGTTCCCGAACATAATCGATTCCATCTTGGAGAGTTTTCCTCTCTCTAAGTCTTTGCCTACTATTGTCCGCCATAATGCTCGATTAACTTTGAAATTCTGCTTCACAAATTAGCATTATCAAACACAATTAATATATACAGTTTCAAATTACAATACAAACAAGCCAAGAATATCAACAGAAAACATCAAGATTACTTCAGGGTTTTTGTTTAATTAATCTTATATGTAGGTACGAAAGCATGGCTTTTTATGGTAAACAAAATTAAATTTCAAAAATTGATGAAATTTAAAGATTAATTAATTGAATGCAAGAGGAATAGAATACCTAGCTAGCTATATAATATCGAAGCTTGAAAGCTGCAGGATTGAGTCGAGGCTTCCACTTCAATTCTCTGCCATTGCAATTGAGTCTTCTGAAGTTTTTTCATTACTGATTTAGTCCTCCATCTCTCCAATATGAGACAGTTTAGACCAATTATTTAAACCTATGTGCCCATATATATATATAGATATTAATTAACCACAAATTAAAAAGTTAGGGTGACTAAATGTGGATAGTAATATTTAATAGAATAATGGTGTGTTAATAAGTGAAAACCCTAAAAATTTTAATTCAATTATGTTATACTACTTCCTCCTCCCCACAATAGTATATGATAGTAATTTTTTGATTTGAATTTTGTCTTACATTAATTGCTGTTTTTTTATATTTAAAAAAATATAAGTTATCTTTAAATTTTTAATTTTAAGAAATTGAAAAATTACTATTATGGTAAGATAGAGAGAGTATTTTCATTGGACAATTATGTGCAATGCAGACTATTACTCAGTTTTCACTAAAAGAAAAAACAGACTATATTTTTTATTACCATCTTTGGTGACTTGAATCTATTTTGAAGCCCTCAACTATAGATGTGAGAATCGGGGCAGACAATTTCATGGTTTGGGGAAACTTTCCAAAGTAGAAACCTTACTATGTATACTAATGCTGTTAAGCCACTCAATTCATGTTTTTCTACAGCAAAATTGGTCCATACATCATGGACAGTAGCTGTTCTGGGTTGTAACAAACGAACCTCACTGGTTTCCAGTATCTGTCATCGATTGATGAATGCCCACCATTCAAAGATGAACAGCTAATGAATGATGCATGATTTCATATGACATCCCTCTTCCTCGTTTTAAATCAATCAGTGTGAAGATGTTGCTTTCGTCTCCGACACCTATTCACGTACCAAGTTGCATGCTTTTGTAGTCCCATTCCAGTCATCACCTTTAGACTTGTGAGCATGATGTATGTCATGGCTACCAGGATCAGAATCCAAAGGAGCCTCCATGGAAGGGGATTGTGTGGAAGGTGAGCAGAATATACTGGAGTGAGTACTCGGATAACCTGAAAACCCAGTACAATAAGAATTTGAAGATCTAAAATATCCAAGCCTTTTGGTGTAGGGTGTGGAGATCGGTTGGACAGACAAGAAGATTAATGCAGACTGAGAAACAGCAAGCATCCTGAGATTTGATAACACAATAATTCCCAAAAAGGTAATCAACTTTTGGGACTGAAAATAGAACTGTACCAGGAAATGGTTAAGTACAAAAATCAATGTGGACCATTTTGACTTTCACTATAGTGGCCAGCATATAATGGTTTTCAACTTTTCAATAAAACTATAGCCTAACAACTTCTATACTCTATTGGGAAGTGGAGTTAGTCCAATATCATTCAGCTCTGCCTCTCATGTTGACAACTTCATTTCCAAAAACATGGCAGTAGCTTCAAGCTCTAATGTACGGTATACAATATTTCAGAGAGGGCACTTTCTAAAACAGAAATAGCTCCTATATATATATAAAGGATTATTTTCTATTCCAACATGAAATGAAAAAAGGGCCCGGTTCTTAAGAATAAAATATCATGTTTACGCAAAAGGAAAAGTGCAAATGGGAAAGCTTACAACACAAGCAGGTGCTACAGGAACAAAAGTAAGGTTTTTGTTGCCATCCTCTGTTTGTATGTTTAAAGTCTGGTGACAATAACAAAATGTTCAGAACGAAGTTAAAATATACAAGCAATAAGACTAATTTAAATGGAAGGATAGGAAATATTAGGCAGACAAAACAATTTCTAAAAATAATCGACAAGAAACAAAGATGTACCTGCTTGCAGAGGTCTTCTAGAAACTCAGAGTATGCAATGGGCTTTATTCCGTTGAATTTGGCAAGGAATGAATGTTTTATGATATCAATCAACATTTCACAAAGAAAAACCACTAGTGCATTCTACATAGGAGGAATAAGACATGTGAGCAAGCTGAACTCACTCTACTTCTACACAACAACGGTGAAACAATTAATACTTGAAAAGCATGAATGTGAACTAATTTTTCTGGTGCACTTACATAAATGAAACTTTCAAACCAAGGTCCTTCAGCCTCCAAGATATTCTGAGCTAAAACGAACAGGAGAAATGCTGAAATGTGGAATCTCTCTACTGAATCTGGTGCACAGAAAACAATTGCATAGGTATGTATGGACCATAGATACACTCTAGACATGTAAAAGTATGGAAATTAATAGCAAATATCAAATAATATAGAAATTGATACTCATATGATTTGCCTCTTGCACCTTGAAACTAATACTTGAGTTAGTTTGGGAGTTCAATATTTTCTCAAAACTCAAACACATAACGAGCATAAAGGAACAAACCCCTAAATCATCAGGTACAATACAGTTATGGATAGCTTTTAAAAGTAAAAGAGGACTAAGAGGACATAACAATCTTTTAGTAGCACCCTCTTAGAGGAAAGATACAAGTTTCCCACCAACATTATTGTTTTTTTAACCTCTCTTTTTTTTTCCTTTTTTTTTTTTTTGCACAAGGCAAGTGACTTCTATTAAGCTCAAAAACATCCCCAAAGGAGTACAAAACTCAACTGGGCATCCCCACCATATTACAAATCAACAACATTATTGTTCAGTTTAGAGTTTACCAACTTTCAAATTTCAACTTTCAAGAATGAGAGACAGACTGACAAGACAAAAGTCAACTTAAAATGAAATTCAAGGCTCAAACAAGCAAGCATTTCAAACATTTTACTTTAATCATAAAATTATTATTGTAGAACGGATATCAACTGTAAAATTACTAAGAGAACATCGGCAACAAAGTCAAAGCGGCGCAGATAAGAATAAGCCTACACTAATAACAATAAACACACATTAAGGTAACACATAATATTTATAGCTGCTGGACACCCTAAATGGCGGCAAAGTGATGGATTATGCCACTAACATAGAAACTAGGAACCATTCACTGTAGCCCTGGGAGAATTCTGCTCAACAAAGACAAACCATTTTGTTCTTAAAATCTAGCAGGACAAGATCCAATATATGCAATGTATGCAGAGAAAAGAGCAACCAATTTACATCATAAAAGGAAAATCACAAAAACAAACTTACCAGAGTATACCAGACTATGAATATTATCCTTGCTAAAACGCTTAAAGACATTGCTTTTTATCTCAGCAAAGTTATTGGATACCAACAAAGCAAACAAGGCATTATTATGAGCAACAATGCAAGTTGATAGGGTAATTGCCTGAGCTAATAAAATGAATGAATGAAGAAGTAAGAATAGTCAAGGAACCAAATGGAAAGAGAAAAATTCAAAGAACTCATAAAGATATCATTGCCACATTATAAGGATATTTGAGAAAGCCACAGCTAACGCTTGGTCAGAAACAAATCTCCGTATCCAGAATGTCAATTTTTCTTCAGAGCAATTTGCAAGTCCTTCCGCAGAATTAAATAGAGTTTCCAGTACATCTCCACCAAAATTTTGGCACAATTTATCAAATATCTATACATGGAGCAAAAGGGTGACATAAATTGCTAGCAGATGTTGGCCGAAAAAAATTGCAGACAGATGATTAAAAAATGTAACTGACGGAAATAGAATCTTGAACAGAAGTAAAAGCAATACTTAGTCAAGTTCCTAGAAGAACGAAATACCGTGTCTGGGGTGATCATCAATGTCAATTACAGTAATGCCTCCAAAAGGTTTCTTTGGCACTGGACCATTTCAGAAACTTCCGGTTGAAAGGAAAAAAGAGTTGTGAAGAGGGAGGGGAGGAGGAATCAGATGATTGGGGGGAACAAAAACACAAGTTACTTTAGAGTTATTTATGTGTTTATCATCTTAAATATTCAACTGGAGAAAAATATATATGGCCTCATTTTGGAAGATGGGTACCTCATCTTTATTTTATTATAGAAGTAAAATCAAAGGTGTTAAGTAGTCATGTTATCCTGCATATGTTTGCTTTGATGTTTGCTGTGGCAATGTATTCAACTAAAGTTAAGCTCTCACTCACAGTCACAACCACTAGATTTTAGGTTACATGCCTTGAATTAGAGCCCAGGTTATTTGTTGCCCAATTAGTTGTTCATCACCATTAAGCTCGCTTAGTCAACTTGTTTGTTCCAGTTATTCTTTTGGGCATATACATATGGAGAAAATGTAAAGTACCAATATTATCTGACATCTATGTAGCTAGGGTAGGGATTTGCATGATCTTACATTCAGTTCAGTCCTTCACCTAACATAAATCGGTTTTAGGATGGCTACCTTGACAAAATGTAACTACAACAAGCATAGAATCTAATAAGATACATTTGAAACTAGGGGAATGAAACCAAATTGTGTTAATTACTTAAGTTCATATTAGTTTAACTCTTCATTTTAAAAAACATCCACTACAATTTCTAAATCAACTAGTTCATCAAATTTCATCACCAAATCCATGAAACCTTAATATTAAAACAGTCCCTAGTGTCAGAAGATGAGACATCTAACTACTTTTACGCATCATCTAGGTTGTTTCCTCACCTCAAAGGCCTAGACGAGCCTTTAACTCCTCATGACAGAAGAAAGTAAACAGAGAGAATGAGAAAGAAAGCATGCAGCCATTGAAAGTTGCTTTTCTTGGATCTTATCACTGTCATGTGATTTTATCACTGGTCTCCTCCCTGAGAAGTGATGGCAAAATTTGGCTACACTTGCACCTATATATAACTAGAAAACCTCCCTAGCCCACCTGCTGCAAAAACCATACAGATTCCAGCCATTGGTCTCTGATGACTGATGCTCTCATGACTTGGGCCCACATTGATATGTGGAAGCCAATGTTCAGCTTCTCTTGATCAAAGGATACAACTCAAGGTGGCCCTAATATCATCTCAAAATGGGAAAGGAACCACCCATGCCACTAGCTTGTTCATGGCAAATATCTAGTCTCCTATGTCCTAAATGAGACTAATATGTATCAAGAAAAAACTTTTGTGATTAACACTCAAATTTGTAAAAATTCAGGTTTTTCAGTTTCTCACCTCCAGGACATTATATACCACATACAGTTTGATTGTTCCTTGGCCACGAATCATGTGATATATCAAACTGATATCTGTAAAAGGAAAAAATTAAAAATTAAAAATAAAAAAAATTAAAAAGAAAAGGAAAAATAAACCTGCGTAGAGTATCAGAACTACTTATTCTGTTCCTGGTCATCTAACTAGAAGTATATTAATTAGTCCTCCAAACAAGCAGTAATAAGAAATGGTAAGATAATTCTTAAGCTGATAAAAAAAGGTAAATTCTTAATGACTGAGTCTCGCAAATGTGCCAGGGTGATAGATCGTAAAAGTTACCTGTAAGTTCCAAGAGAATTACCCCAGATGCCAGCACAAGAAAGCAGCCAAAGTCACACAGCTCTGCTGCAGAAGGCCTCTTGAACTGCCTGCCACAAACACAATCAGGTTAATTTGCAATTATTACAAGATTCCATAACTCATAAAAAAGTATGCCGCCAAAATTATAGCTAACCTTGTAGTAAGAAATCTCCAGAGTGTAACCAGAATTCTTGTTGGCATGATGGTTAACAATGACAGAAATGAATCAAAACAAACGAAGAAGCCAACATCTATGAGCTGAAACAATATAATTTCTCTTGAGAATGACTATCAAATACACACACACACACACACATAATGTTGCCAGAAAGTAAATCTAGAATTATAATTATCACAACCAGAGTTAAATCAAGGAAGAATTTTTGAATAATATGAATGGAAAAAAAATTAAATATAAGTGATTGAATGGGGAAAATCCACCCAGAAAAAGAAAAGTTGATGAAGCATTGTGCACCAAAAAAGTGGAAGGGAACTTATTCCCACAAATTCAATCTTGTTAATCCTCAATTAACTGCATAAGGAGAGCCAACATTACCACTTCACATCTCCATGGCAACCGGAAGATTGTATCATATACTCTCTCACGTTCTTTCTCACTACCAAGTGTTGTGGTGTTCCGTAGTGCATTTCCATTAGACATTTCTTCAATGAAATATTGCAGTGGTGACTTGTCCACTGTAAAGAGATCTTACAAAAATAAGGTACAATCAAAGTTTAAGTAAGAAGAAATAAAAGAAAACATATTCACAGTTCCACTTAAGACACATACAATGCTATCAAGAAAAATATATATATAGAAATGAGAAATAAATTGAACCAGCCAAACCATTATGTTTTCTCTTTCTTCCTTCTTGATGAGAAAATACAGAATAAAACTAGCAGCCTGATCTTAAACTAAAATTTCTAAGAAAGAAAACATAATAAGGCAGATTTTCAGATATAGTTTTCATTTTTCACAGTTCAGTTTGACCACCCAGAATGGAGAGAGTTCAGAATCTTTATACATGTAAATGAATTAGAAATCATTACTTTCTTAAACTCCACTAAGAAGTAAGAATTATTATTATCTCCAATAATCTTTCTTTCTGCAAGTAAAGCCCTTAGGTTACAACCTGATCTGCAGCAGGCAAAATTCTCCAAGGGTGTGCATTTATATGCACATAATTTTTACCCACTTCTCACAAGGATAGATTTTTATTACATAGAAAAAGATATCAGCATGAATTTATCTAGCACGCAGCTTATCATTCTTCATGGTAATAATGAGCTTTGAACTGCTTATTTATACTTCTTTTGTGGATGTGTAACTTTGTAACATACTTTCACAGACAGCAAATATACAGAATAACAATTCAAATCAGGAATAAACTGAGCTTAGATTAACAAGAGTATATTTGGTCCATTCTAATACATAAATTTAGTTCAATCTATAAATTTTTTTATATTGACGTTACTGCAGTACAAGAGAACACTTTAAAATTGAGACTTTATTAAAGGTGAAGCAAAATTCTATCCCAAGCATCTCGAAGAAACAATTGAGAATTCATGATTTTCAACCCAAGAATCAACATTCTGACAATAAAAATGCTGACCATCTGTTTTGGTTTTTGTAAGGTTGCAGGAGTTTCTTGCAGCCCCACAACATAAATACTAAGAAATACAAACTCTTAATTGGAAAAAACCAATTCCTAGGACATACAAACTCTTGACAACAAAACTGCTGACCGTCTTTTTTGGTTTTCGTAAGGTTGCTGGAGTTTCTTGGAGCACCACAACATAATCCCTAAGATATAGAAATTCTTAATTGGCAAAAACCAATACAATAGAGTTAGCTTCATTTTAGGGGTAGAGCCTTAAGGAATTTTTCATGCTTTCAGTTGTTACTATTGTGACAAATTTTCAGTCTCTATGCTAAATTTTAGCATTTCGGTAGAAGACAAGGTTCCATTCACTGAAATCAATGGTGCACCTTTATTCAATATTTCCAGGAGCATCCTCATTACAACATGAACTTCAGATCCATTTAAGAGCTGTACCTCCTTGTCCCTGAAGAGTCAACTTTCAAACCTATAGTTATTGGCTCTCAAGGAGATTCTTATAGAAACATATGAGCAAATTAGCCAAAATGCACAGCAGGATCAATAAAAAAAAGGGGGGGGGGGTGGAATTTCTTATTTTAACACACGAAAACCCCAAAAGCTTTCTTGTATTTATCTAGATAATCATCAATCTTTAATTAATCCAGGAATGTCTTAACATATGCCCGTTTTCCTTTTAGAGATAACTTTTACAGCCATAAATCAGACAACCAGAAGCCACTCATTGACAAGAATGGTTACGCTACCAAGCATGCATCAGCAACCACAAACTAAAACTCCCAATAATCCACCTAATTTTCATAATCAAATCATTCAATTTCCATCAATAACCTTTCTTACAAATTACACAACCAACAATCTTCAATGGCAAAGAAAAACTGACAACATAAATATATAAGAGACAAAGAATCAGGTAAAACTCACAGTTAGGATCCTCTGTCATCAGCCGCTTCCAATCCAATGACTCATCCGTCTCCAACTTAGTCACCACACTCTCATTTGCCACAGGCTGCGGCTCAACAGCAATCACCTCCTCCTCTGCCCTCAGGGGCACTGCAGCCTCCTCTTCCTCACTCCCATTGACATTCCTCTGCCTCAACTCGCCAAAACCACACACGATATTGTGACAAACGCTGTCCTCCACCACACTCCCCGTACGGTAATTCAATCTGTTCTCACACAACACCTCCCCATTCTCCATCGGCGGATCTTTGGGAATCACCTTTTTCGCGGTCTTCTTCTTCTTTTCTTTCTTCTTCTTCCGATGATGAGGTGAGAGGTTGCCGTTGTTGAGATTTTGGAGTGGATTGGAGCTGGATCGGTGGAGTGGGGATTCAGCATCTGCGTCTTCAACAGAGGTGTTTCTGAGAATCTCGAAGGAGAGCTTTCGATCGTAAGTTTTCAACGCCATGGATGCAGATGGATTGAGAAGAAGAGAAAACTGATGATCGAGTATGAGAGAATTATATCGAAACGTTTTTTCTTCTGTTTTGGGTATGCGTGAGGTTTACTGAAACGTTTCTGAATTTGGTAAAATGCATCCAATTGGCAAAACCATATGTTAAGCCCCCTGAACTAATCCAAGATTCGCTATTGAGCCCCAAACTTTAATTGATACATATAAACCACTAGACTCTACGATCTGAGCAATTTAACCCTTATTCTCATAACATTTTAGCCCCTATTCTTATGGTAATTAACGAATTAAGAGATAAATTGCTCAAATCGTGGAATCTGGGGGTTTATATACATTAATTAAAGTTTGAGAGTTCAATAACAATTTTAAAATTAGTTTAGGGACTTAACATATAGTTTTACCTATCTAATTTGGAAAGACTGAGTTGTGGACCTGTGGTGGAATAGACTTTTCTCCCCTTTAGTTTCCAACGATGTTTCACAAATTATATATTGACACGTTAGCCAGATGCCTTGCATAATTTAATTAAAAAAATTAGAGGCATTTTTGTACCTAATCTAAGGCATGTTTGTTTAGAAAAGAGTCTTAATGGTAAATTTTTTTGTGAAAATAGTTGAGAAACATTAAGTTAAAAATGTACCATATAAAAGTTGGTGATTGTCGAGGATGAGGTATGATAATGGTGTTATTGTTGAGATGGAAGGAGAAACTTCCTGTTGGCAACTTTGAGAATGCTACTCTGAAATGGGAAACTAAATCCTTGCAGTGTCTATAAGATGAAAATTACACACAAAGAAAATATATGAAACTTTTCATTCTTCATTATTGCTTTCACGGTGATTATACATTTTCTCCTTATTACAACTTTGCAACAAACTTCTACAATTAAAAATAGAGATAGTTGAAGAGTAGTGGGAGAACAAGTAAATCATTGAGAAGCTAGCACATATTCAGCTTGAAATTAAGGGGTAAATGTTAAATGTCATAAAGGGGAAGGGGTAATTTTAGGTTATATTTAATATGATTGTGATTTTGAGTTTTCAATTTTAATTTTTAAAACTTAAATAATTAAAATTAAAATTG